AGTACACACAGACAGACATACCTAGCGAATTATACAGGGGAGCAAAAAAAGAGTCACTTTTCTCCACATTCAAAACGCAATTAATCTCGAACTGCGAAACCAAATCAAATGAGCCCAACTGCATATTAAAGAGCACATTCAAGTCTATCAAAAGGTTACATGACAGCCTTCTACACAGACGACATCAGAATATTTTCCCACGGAAACATGGTTCACGGTACGAGCTCAAAGACGTCGTCGAGGTACCATAGACCATTACGACGTCCCTGAAACGCCGGTCAAAAGCGGTCTTGCACAGTCACAGTGCAAGTGCAGTGTCTCTGGGAAGCTATTCACCGCTTAACCGCTTGAAGAAATTATGTAGCAGCTTCAGGCCGGAGCGATTACGGTAAGCCTCGTTGAGCTCGACGGTGACGGCAGATGACGTCATATTCTGAAGACGGTGGGGCAGTGAAGGAGGGCCTGCTTCTGCTTATGGGGGACACCTAAGGAATATTCTGCCGTAAAACATTCATTAACTGCGGCATCCTGTGCGACGAAAAATTTGATGATGTGCGCCATAGGCAAAGTGACTTTTTTTGCCCCCCCCCCATGCAGAGCTCCGGTTACCAATTTGGCTGTAGGTCCGCCAACCATGTCAAAACCCAACTCCCAGACCGCAGAGATCCGGATAGGACGGCTAGTCACCATTGGAGGAACTAACCTAAGAAAGACAAAAAGGAATATGAAACATCGCATTGTACAACTCCATAAACTAAGAAAACTAATGAAACAATCGCTTCTCTGTCTTGTAAGCGAGAAGCTCTTGTTCTTCTTTCTCAGAACCAACCTTGCGATAAAATAATCTTCTTAATCTTTCCCTAAACGAGCTAGGAGAGCTCGAGTTAACCACAGAATGAGGTAAATCATTCCAGATTTCATTCATTCAATTCAGAATCATTTACAGATTGAAATGTGTCCGAACTGTTGACCGAACTTCGAAATTCAGAGGAGTCCATTTTTCTCTCAAAACCCTATAGCTACGACCTCTCGTACGGCCGATTGTCCTTGACTTTCTGAAAAGGTTTTCGAAATCTGAATTCACGAGCCGAGAGGAAATATTTTAGACAAAGTCATAATTGAATAGTTCCCACCTCATTTCTGGGAGTTTTCATTAAGATCTCTCAGTGTGCCCCTATACATACGACGCGGAAAACACTTTTGAGAGCGAAAATCCGTTCAGTGAATTTGGTCTGAACACCCTCAATAAGTGCAACCATGTTACGCTTTGAGTGACTCCAGATACTCAAGAATGATGCGGACATGGGTTACATAGGGTTGATTCAAGGTTTTTATATTTCTCGAAATTCCTTTGAAGAAAAGGCGCGCAAGTTGAGATTTGCCTTGCAGTGTGCCGAATATACGATTTTCGCAATAGAGATGGCAAAAGAACGTAGCCACATTGACGACAGCGTGACGCGTTGCGCTGTCGCCAATGTGTTAACGTTCTTGCAAAATTTGCAGGCTAGTAACTTTCCTAGAAGGTTCAGCAGCAGTTTTTAGGTCCATGTTTGTAATCGTCGTTAAGGACTATCAATATACCCAATGTAATTCCTTGGTTACGATCCGTGAAGTTCGTAGTCCTCCGCAGCACGAATCGCACGAGGCTACGAAGTCTGACATCTGCCTTACATTTGCATGTACAAATATTTTTGGAAAAGCGTTGTTAATGGATATTTAGGTTATGGCTGATGATGACGTCCGTCGCCTGCGGTTAAGTGCTGACGAAACGAAAGCCTTTCGTGAGCGGATAAGAAACATTCGTAAGGAGGTTGGCACGTACATGGAAAGGTACACAGGGCGCGCTTGAATTTCGATTATGAAAGACGTGCAGTAACGTCCGGCAAGTCACCTCACATGCCCTACTTGCCCAAACCATGAATAGTTTTTGAACCTATTTGTCATTCGGAGCCTTTGTTTTTCAACTTTCTCGAAGATCGTTCGTCGGATCTTGTGGAATATGCATATGAATTGTTGTAATAGCTCGGTGTAATTCATTGGTTTGAATCTGGTGGACTGTGTGGTATTATATCATACACGTAAAACAAGCGATGTAATGCCACTCAGTTGCGTAACACAGGTTTGTGAAGATGTCAACTTGTAAAAAAATCATCTTAAACCAATTGTGTATAATCTCGTAGTTTTGTTTCTCCTACCAAACTTACTCTTTTCCGAGTCCCTCAATCCTAGTAATCCTCAGTCGCAGCGTAATTTCATTGAAGTTAGCTAGATACCTTTAATCGTAAAATGATTAATAGATAGAGTTCTCCGTTACAAGTTATCACTATTGTTAATTTCTCAAGATCTTGTATCCTTTTTGAAAAATGCTCTATTGTTGAAGCAGTTGTTATGAACTTGTTCCGAAGTCATATATAATATAATAAATCTTATTCGTTTGCACGTTTTTTGGAAAGCTAGGTGTATCGATCTCTTCCATGAGTAGGACGAGCTGTTCATCGGTAGAAGATGTTTACGGCTAAAATGTGCACAACAAGTGCGGCCGCCTATGCCCATTGGCCATAGGCGGCCATAAAGAGAGACAGTGGTGGAACCGATAAAGCCCTGAACAAACAACAACAACAAATGTTTGCCCCTTAAAATAAGGAAGGGCGGGGCCAAACGAGTTGTACGAACTTGCCTGCTCCACTGCTCAACTAACCCGCGCGTATTTGAATTAGCCGCTACGCCGTAATCCACGTTGCGTGTCATGGGGTGTGCGCTACGTAACTCGTCCAAATGCTAAGATTAGTCGCCAAATGCTGACTTTGTAAGGTCCTAGCGCCATTATAGCGCACTTCCGATCGCGAAAATGGCACTCTGTGCAATTGTGGGCTTCTCCATCCACTCACTGAATAGATTCTTCGATAGAGCTCTGTTGGGGGGTATTCTTAAAGGCAAAAGTCAGGCTCGTGTTTCGGCATTATGGCGCCTGAATATTGAGTGTAGAGATGGGAGGTGGAACGACAGTGAAGAAAAAACGAAAAAAAACTGTCGACAACACCTAAATACACTGGTGTGCAAAACTTAAGGACCGAAGTAACTTTCACATGATATCTCACTGCTAGTTAACCTAGGTGGACCAAATTTGGCACATATATAGAAGTAAATGTTGCGGTACAGTGCAGAGAGTTACTAACAGAAAAGCGCAAAGGGGCGATTGGAAAAGACATTTTTCTGCAAATACCCTGTCTGAAGCGGTCGATAGGTGAGGCTTCTCCAACTCATGGTAGACACTCAAAAGAGAGGAGCTAGTTCTTGATGGGGTGTATGAACACTACGGACTGCAAGGTATGCTCTGCTACGTGTTCCCATACAGGCCGTAAGATTAGTTAAGAGTTCTTGAGGAGAAGTGACCGATTCCTTGGAGACCGCGATTGACAACTGCAGGACTATTGTTGGCACATGGTCATGTGCTACAATAGCTCATCTGAATCCACGCCACACGTGCTCCATAGAATTAGACTGGAGGAAATAAATGGCTTCACCAATTACCGAAAATCCTCACTTTTCAAGAGTTTTCCACCCAGGCTGCTCGATACTCTCGCACACTGCCCTCCATACGATTGAAGCTGAGGGCAAGGGAACCCTTGGAAAGATGCACATGACAGAAGGGTACAACACCACAATCACGTTGATCAGAAAGTGTAACGCGATCATGAGTTGGGGATCAGTACGCCCCGACAACTTTATGCCTCCCCACATCATGTCGCATGCACTACCAAAACAATCATGTTAAACGATGGTCCTGGGTAGATTACACGTTCCTATTTTCCCCATATGCAGGTAAGTCCAGAATCACTACTCACATTCAGTTTGCTCTTGACCGGGAAGAATACGCGATTTTTCAATTCGGTGGTCCATCTCCAATGTCTCGGCTCGTACCAAATGTCCCAGCCGAGGCGTGGATTTCAAATGAATACAGGTATTGTTGATCGATGAGAGAGATCACTCCTAGGCGGTCACTGCGCCACTGTCCGGACTGGGATTACATGCCTTACAATCCTGATAAATGTTTTTGCAACTGCAGCATGTGACTGACGTGGGTCCATTTTTGCCTGTAGCAAAACCTAGCAATCACCTGCTGCTGCGGTTGTTCGTGACCCACAACCTCCTCTTCTTGGGACAGCAGTGGCTGCGGTCCACATTGCTTCTCATGCACAAAAAACAATGCTGTGGTTGACACAAAACTCCTGGACACAACTTCCTTTTTTCAGTTTCCCAATGATTCTTCCTCGCGTAAAGTCACCCTAGTGTTGTCTCTGAGACTTGATGTAATCAAGAACACCACTACATTCCACAGTCACTTCTCCCTGCTTAGTTTACCCCTCTTGTCCTGCCCCACGATACCCATCGTTCTGGGTGGCCACCCCATTTAGGCTCCAGATTGAAGCCGGATGCAAGACATATGAGGCCCACTTCGGTGCCCATGACTGTAGGGCTTCTAGCATTATGCCCGTACAGTTTCATCCAATTCCATCTAATTGTTAATAAGTTAGGACAATTTATCTATCTGGTCCTTAAGTTTTGCACACCAGTGTAGAAACCCATTCCTCCTAGCAGTGAAGGAGATTTGCTCGGGGGAGAGTCACGTCCAAACGAGTTTTCTGGATATGCCAGCCGTTCCATCGGTTGATACGGCAATCAACTCACGAGGAAAGGTCACCAGGCCGGTCCGGCCATTTGCAATGAGGTGTATACCTATGCATTCGTCTTGAGACGATAAGCTAGAAACCGCTTTTCTTATCTGCTAAACGGTGCTCTGAACGGAGTTACGGAAGTTTTCCCCTCAACACTGTACTTAAACGCAGTATATGAGCGCTATCATTGGAGTCGCCACTATAAGCCAAGCGGGAAGACGCACGTCGTGGTTGACGTGGCGTAAGTGGTAACGCTCCAGGCTTGTAGGCGAGAGGTCATGGGATCGGTCTCTCGTGGTGTTTGTTGTTTTGCCTTTTTGAAAACATGACCAGAAAGGCTTTTAGCGACAGTATCTCTCTCAATTGCTGCCTTTACCTGCCTGTGTAAGGAGTTAGGGAGCACCTCTGCGCAGGTTGAAAGCTATTTTTAATTAATATTTGCCATGACTGAAAACGACGCTCATAGCCCACTGAAGGTGTTTTTGCGGTAAACGAGTATGATATTCGTGTTCAGGAGACCGAATTTTCCCTGGTTACAAGTTTCCAGCTGAATCTGAGATTTTGACCTACACTCGAGAAAGGGCAGTCAACATACAGTCAAACGAGAGAAGGTATGAATCGAAAACTAACTGGAAAAGCACCTTCCCTGAATTTTGATGCAGAGTCATGTAAATCATTTCCATTATGCGGGAATGTGAGCCGTTGAACGTTTCTCTTTTCAAAATCTTGGTTGGAAGGGCAATTTCCATGCCAAGAGTTCAACGATAGGTTGATGATATGATGGTTGACTCACCTCATTTTTTAGGGTTGGGTCAAAATCTCAGATTCGGTAGGAAACTTATCTCCAAGGGTAGTTTGATCTCCTGAACACGAATATCACGCCTGTTTGCCGCGAAAAAGCCTGACACGTGCATTACGGGCACCATGTTCATACATGGACGACTACTGCCCAAACCTGCAAGGAACTGCTCGAAATTTTTTCGTACAGGGAACTAACGGCAAAGTTGATAAATTAAGAAGTTAGAAGCTTTCTGGCTACATCTTCACGAAGCACAAAAGAAACAGACTCTCCGAGGAGCCGTTCCCACGACCTCTTGCTCGCGAGTTCGGGGCACTGCCACTGCGCTTCCTTGCTTTATAACTACGTTCAGAGAATCGTTTAGCAGATAAGGAAGGCAGTTCTGAGCTCAGCGCCTCGAGGCGACTTCAACGGTATACGACTCATTGCAAATGGCCGGACCGGCCTGATGACCTTCCCTCGTCAGCTGATCTCACACGTTAGGCCAGCCACGCACCACATCCCATGGTGGGCGGCCGGAGCGCCTCCAGGCGGCGCGAGCGCTTAATGCATGCCCTGGGGCGTTATTACGGCGCCTTTTGAGATTCTGAGCATGGCAACGTCCCTGTGGGTGCGTAGCCATGCACATAGACGACTAAAGTGATTGGTTTGGTCCACTGAGCCTGACTCGTGGCTTTAAAGGCACGAGTCGGGATTGAATTGATGCTTTATTTTGTTCAAACATTAGGCAAGGGGTGCAATGAGGAACATTAGTGAGGAGAAAAAGCAAAAAGCACCATAGAAAACACTAAATTTCCCTTAGGAGGCCGGCCGTAGTACGACGGAGAGACACAGCGCTGCGAGGAGAGGGAGAACGCGAGATAGTACGTCGTACGCGAGAGGACGCAGAGACCACGTATGCCGTGGTTGATAACGCTGGCAGCACGGCAGCACACAATGCAGGGTCTTAGCGCCGTGCCTCGAACTTTTGAGTCGCGACAGTGTCGCGCCCTCAGTGCTTGGGGAGCCACATCGCACCCTGGGAAGAACTTCTGCTGGTTGCCTCATCCTGACTCGTAGCTTCAAATCGGAGCGAGGTTTCAGTGCAAGGAAGGCGGAGCTGCCAATCTGTGGGCTATGCTTGTAATTTTATCTTTCTATATATAATTCACTAAGTTGGTGTGTCAGTTTGTATTGTACGTGCATCTGTATGTATTGCATGTCGGTGTATCTGTCTGTGTGCAAGATGAAGTGGTAATGACAGCGTCATTTCTAAAGAAGTTCAAAGGGGCATGGGCTGTCCAGTGGTAGCGCCAAGATGAAAAAGGGAAGTCCATCGAGAACATGTAAAATGGGACCCCCTCACTTGCCCGCTCATTTTCGATCGTAGACGGG